GTACCTTCGATCCGCCATAGATTACCTGGAAGATCCAAACAATCCGGAAGGCATCATCCCAGTTCCGGCTGACTGCCGGTCGCCGAACCTGTGGGTGGTGAGCTGGATGCGGCTTCCATCAAAAACTGCAGATTTCGGATGGGGAAGTTCGACTCTGTTTCACGTGGCGGATATGAGCGAAGGATTGGCGATTCTCTTGCCGAGAAATTCTGCCGACGGGAGCCTGTCGCTGGCGATTTGCCTGGAAAGTGATGTGATGGAGGGTTTCAAGAAGATGTTCTATGAGTTTGATCCATGATAAGATAGGAAATCTAGAACCGCAGAACCTATGAAACTCTGTGTTTTATCAACTCTGGTTATGAATCATATTGTTCTCGTATTATATTATCGTATCAGAGATTGTAAGACACGGATTTTGTAGATTTTGTAGTTTTTTTTAGTTATTTTGTACTATAACTCGGACGCTATAATAATAATAATAATAATAATAATAATAATAATAATAATAAAAGAACTATTAAAGATTGCAACATATTATAATTGAGTATTCGTTAAATATTTGGAAATGTCACAATATATTATTTGTGATTTTTTTTATGAATGATTTGGTGGTATTATTTCATCAAAATCCAGGACTTGTCAGCAACAATAGCTCTGCTAACTGGGGTCTTTACATTCTATAATAACCTCTACCTGTTTCTGTATGATCTAACACAACTTTAACTAAGCCAAGAGTAATCATTCTAAGGCAAAAAGGAGGTTACTAATACTACATCATCTCCTATTATGATTCTACTGTCACTCTTGGTCCGGATCAACAGTGCTTCCAGTTCAACAGATTGATTATCATACTTGTTTTGACATCGACTCCTCCATATTGTGCTGATCGATCATACTTCTCCAGATTAGTCTCCCAGCTTGTGCAACGAGGGACTTCCCTTTGAATGCCTGAACAGCCCATGTCAACTCATCCTCCCATCTATCAGTAGCCTGCCTTGAACTGCATCCCGCAAGACCAGTAGTTCCACAAGAGCCGGCTCTGAAATCCCCAGTACAATGTTATTGACTTCGCCATCACCATGCCCGTGGAATCCTGAAGAACCCAATCGCCCGCACCACGAGAACCTGGAGTTGTAGCCCCATCCATGAATAGCACATGCTCACCCAACGGGACCTCCTCTCTGCCTCTGGCAATTGGGCCCCTGAATAACTATTAACCCCCTGGCTGTTGGGTATGTCATCTCACTCTGCAACTTGCAATCCAAATTGAGATAGCAAAACCGGAACAATGATTTGAGTAAAATCGAAGACCACCCAGTTCTCGGCCTTCCACACACGCCAAGAAAGGGCCACGATACCCATCAGGGCCCCCTTATCCAAATCCCGCCACTCAAGCAACATGCGCCAAAAGATGCCAACATTGCAAAGGGGAAAGCGATCCCGGATATCCATAAGCTTCGCCCCTTCCCACAGCCCCACCGCCAGTCGGCAGCGGAAGAAGAGATGTTCAAGAGACTCCACCTCCTCCCAGCAGACCGGACATTGCTCCAGTCCCCCCATCCCCCCCCCCCCCCCCCCCCCCCCGAGAACCCAATGCCCCACCTGTTGGCAAGACACCACGCACTAACTTCCAGATGAAATATCGCAACTTGGGGGGTATAGGAGTCCCCCAAACCCGTTTCCAGAGGCTATGATCCCACACCTGAACTTTCGCCTTCACTCGTAGCTCCTTCCTCCTCCTGAACTCCATAGCTAAGTGATAGCCAGACTTGGCAGTATAAAGACCAGATTTCTCTCCATTCTATACCACCCGATCAGGCACCAGCGAAATGGGCAGCGAAATAGTAAGAATGGCTCGGACAGTCTCCTCCTCAAAGATTTGAAGCTAGCAATCCACCGTCCAAACCCCTTGGTTCGGGCATATTAAAGACGCGACGGATCCCTCGACCCTAATGATCCCCTGACGAGGTTTGTGAGGAAATGGATGCAATGCTGACACCCAATTGTCCGTTAGCACATCTACCAACCCACCAGAGCCAATTTGTCATCGCAGACCTTAAACCAACAAATTACGTCCATGCAACACCCCTCGCTAGCCCCATAAAGGTAGAGATCCAGCCTTAACATCCAGAAGAGAAGAGTGAGAAAAGTATTTTCCTTTAAACACCCGAGCTAATAGAGAGTTGGGCTCTTTCCAGATTCGCCATGCCACTTTTGCCAACAACGCTTGATTAAACTCCTCAAATTTCCTAAAGCCCAACCCACCTTCATGTTTACTTAAGCACAACGATTTCCAATAAACCCAATGAATTCGCCGCTCACCTTGTTTCACCCCCCCCCCCACCAAAATCTAGCCAAATGCCTATCCAGCAAACGACACAGAGACAGAGGGAGAAGGAAACAAGACATCACATAGATGGGCAAAGCATTAGCAACAGGCTTAATAAGGACCTCCTTAGCATCCCATGATAGACATTGCTGCTTCCACCCCTGGAGTCGTTGAATAACTCGTTCCTAGATATACCTAAAGGTATCATATTTTGAACGACCAACCAGAGACAGAAGGCCCAAATATTGATCTGTAACACCAATGGCACCCACCCCAAGAATACATCCCATCTCCTCTCTATCCGCTACCAACATATTCCTGCTTAAACAAACCACTGATTTAGCCAGATTGACTTTTTCACCACTGAGCTCCTCATACTGCTTTCAAACATTGACAAGGTGCCCACATTCAGACCGTGAAGCCCGTAGGAACAAATAAGATTCATCCGCAAAAAACATATGCGATACCACAGGGCACCGGGGACTGATACGGAGACCAGTCAAAACACGATTTGGAATTTCCTGTTGAAGCAAAGCCGCAAATCCCTCGGTACAGATAGCAAACAGAAGCGGGGACAAAGGATCACCCTGACGAAGACCTCGCGTCGCACTAAAATACCCTGAATGCTTTCCATTCATCAAAACAAAAAAAAGTCGGAGAAGACACACAAGCCCGTAGCCATTTGAGCCATTGCACACTGAAACCAAGTTTTTCAAGCAATGCGAATAAAAATGGCCATCCACCCGATCATATGTCTTCTCCATATCCACCTTGAACGCCATGAAATTCTGTTTTCCCACCCTCTTATTCTTCAGGTACTGCATAACCTCGTGCCTGATTAGTACATTATCAACAATCTGCCGTCCACAAACAAAACCATTCTGTCACGGGGACACAATGGAGGGTAAGTAGCGGGCAAACCGTTCAACCAAAATCTTGGTAATGACTTTGTAGCAAAATTGACAAAGACTAATAGGTCGTAGGTTTCTCATATGCTCGACCTTGTCAACCTTTGGAATAAGAACACAAGTATGGTTACAATTCTTAAGGAGAGAAATCGTAGAAAAGAAATGTCTAACTGCCTCCACGATGTCCTGCCCCACAATTGACGAAAGAACACACCAGTAAAATCATCCGATCCCCGAGCCTGGGTAGCACCAACCTGAAAGACGCTACGCCAAATTTCCTCCGGGGAGACGTCAGCAGGCAATTTGGCATTCATGAAATCAGTCACTCTCCTTTCAATAGGCAACGAAGCCACCTTATCTTGAATCGACTGGGATCCAACCCGCCCGTGGCGAAGAGATCACCATAGAAGTCGCATGCCACATGTGCCATATCATCCTCCGTCGTGACCCAGGAACCCGCAGGGTTATAGATACCCTAGGTACGGTTATGACGACGACGCCACTGGTGACATTATGAAAATAAGATGAGTTCTGATCACCCTCCCTAAACCATGTCACCCTTGACTTCTGGCGCCAGTAGATCTCTTCATCGACCCAAGCTTCTTTCAATTGTCTCTCCAATTCTCGTAATTTATTCCAAACAACTACAGAGGCCCCTTGAACAGTTTCCCACTCTTTTTGAAGGCTTCGAATCCTTCGTTCTGAGTTACTTTTGCCTAATTTGTTCCAGTCATAAAGCATATGCCTTAGTTTCTTAAGCTTACACCATAACTGAAACATAGGTGTACCATCGAACGTCAGGTTCCACACCTCCTGGATGATGTCCCTCACTTCAGGGTTCTTCTCTAAAAGTTAACTAGAGGAAACTGATTCAACGAGAAAAAAATATAAGACAAACGAACAAAAAGTAACCAACTATACAATAATTCGGAAATAAGAGTTTTAAACATGTTTGATATGTACACAAATATTATACGGATATTAAACGAATTTTTCCTAACCGATTTTCTTTTGCTTTACACAAGTTAATAGTATCTGACATATGTAACGCCACAAAAATATATAAGCTAGATAAAAGATAAAATCACGTACTTATTTTTGTTTTTTTGCTTTAAACCCCTTTTATTATCCCTGCCTAACTTTGATTTGACCTTTTCGCCTTTCTCTTGGTATACAGTCGTCCTACCTAAGTGCACTTATATACCACCACAATAAGGGAAATAATAATGGACCTAGCGTGTTTATAGAGAGATCAACTTCGCCGTTTGATTATCGAGCCTCTCGCTTAGGACACACTCTTTCATCTTTTGAGAGTGCACATTTTTTTCCACTCATCTCGTAACTCATTCAGGTATCAAGTCGCAGTTTGATCAAATTAGAATCAAGTCGTCCCCCGTTTTAAAAGTAAGGAGATATTCTAAACATCATGTCATTGTCTACAAATTACGAACCACCACCATTTGAAGAATTGGAAGCACGCTGAACTCCAATCGCGCAAAACTTTTATTTACGACGAGAAACTCGCAAACTAAAGATAAGATAACCACAAACGACGACAGGTTATTCATATTATCACACCAACCCTAAAACAAAGGAATACCTACCTACCACTAGAGTTAAGGTATACCCACTTCAGTCCTTCTTCCCTCCTTTCTTGCTATATAAGTAACTCCTCCCCTTCCACAAGACATCTCTCACCACCATCTTCCTTACTCAATCAAAACCATCTCATCTTCTTCCTTCCATTCTCTCATTCCATCACGATGAAGGTGACCGTGAAATCGACGACCATGGTCCAGCCGGCAGAACACAGGCCACGCCACAGCCTGTGGCTGTCGAACTTGGACCTTCTCCAGCTGAGAAGCCACGTCACTCGAGCGATCTGCGCGTACAACAAGCATCCTGCTTCTTCTTACTCGGAGTCCTTCTTCTTCTTCGACGTCGGGGTGCTGAAGGAGATTTCGGAGAGACGGTAATGGAAGGCTCGAGCTGGACTGCAATGGCGAAGGAGTCCTGTTTCAGGAGGCGGAATCGGAGGCTGCACTTTCCGAGATCGGGGAGCTCCTGTACACGGCGGGAGGTCGAGAGTTCTCGCCGGGGAAAGAGGCTGATGATGAGAGTTCTCGAGTCGATTATTCTAGAGGGGTTTCTTCTTATCCGCTGCTGATTCTCCAGGTATGCCGTACTTTAAAAAGGGTGATGATGACTTGCAACGCAAGCAAATGCATTCCTGTTAAGTTTTTGAACCGGGTTGATTCCGTCGATCGAGAATCGGTTTGGTCCCGATATCTCGAATTATTCGGAGATGTTGAGTTATGAATTATATACTACTGATTAATACATTCTAGCCCAATCAAACCAAAGTCGTCATATATAGAGATGGAATATGCATACAGGTACGAATTTAAAATTATTCATTTCTCAAAGTGTTCTTATAAGGAAAAAAACATGAATTTCCATGTAATGGGGAGTCAAATGGATATATACTTGAAGTTCAAGACCTAAAACGATTAAAATATTGAAGTAGAGAGACTAAACTAACATTTCGGTTAAGTTAAGTTAAGTTAAACAAATGGATATTCATATAATGTGAGTTAAATGAAAAATATTAAAATTTAAGAATTAAAAAGGATCTAAATGAAAAATATCAAAATATAAAGTGGTGAGACTAAACTTACCTCCAACCTCTAGGTCATCTTCCCACCCAAAAAAAACCTCTAGGTCATCCAATTCTATAATACCAAATTAAGAACCAGTTGGTTTCAATATTTTGTGTTTTTATTAGAGGTTCGGTCACAAATAGGGGCGGCTATATCGTCCGGTCCGGTTAAATTGGCCCAAATTGATCTGGTCCAGTCCGGGTTTTTTGAAAATATAAGGACCAAAGATTGGATTGGATACAGTCCGGTCTTGACCCGGTCCGGTCCCAATTCGGTCTTGATTTTATATTGAACTTGTGGGGATTTGAGTGGCCTAAGGCCTGAAAGGGTAGGGCTGGCTATTTGGACCGGGACCGGATGAAAAACCGGAAACCGGACCGTATAACCCGGACCGAGACCGGACCGGGACCGTATAGTAAACAATCCAATACAATCTTTGGGCTTAGATTTGAGGTAAAAAACCGGATAAAGACCGGATAAGAGAGCTCAACACCCAAAACTTAAGAGTAATTTGCATAAACGGTCACAAACCTTTACACTTAGTACAAAACTTAACCAACTCCTCACCCTTTTAGGCCTTAGGCCACTCAAATTCCCACAATCTCAATATAAAATCAAGACCGAATTGGGACCGGACCGGGTCAAGACCGGACCGGATCAAGACCGGACTGTATCCAATCCAATCTTCGGTCCTTATATTTTCAAAAAAACCGGACTGGACCGGATCAATTTGGGCCAATTTAACCGGACCGGACCGTATAGCCACCCCTATGAAAGGGTGAGGAGTTGGTTAAGTTTTGTACTAAGTGCAAAGGTTTGTGACCGTTTATGCAAATTACCCTTAAGTTTTGGGTGTTGAGCTCTCTTATCCGATCTTTATCCAGTTTTTGATCCGGTTCCGAACGGTTTTTTACCTCAAATCTAAGCCCAAAGATTGGATTGGATTGTTTACTATCCGGTCCCGGTTCGGGTTATACGGCCCGGTTTCAGGTAAAATCAAAAAACCCGAACCAAATAGCCAGCCCTGGTCACAAATCATATAACCACTTACCGATAATTTAGCTGATGCGTCTTTTTCCGATTTTCTTCTTAGATAACAAGGCTCAAGTGCGACGGAGTATGTCTCGGAATCGGAATCCACCATGTTGTAGCCGACGGGGAATCATTACTGAGCTTCATCAACACTTGGGCAGACATGGCTCGAGGTTTACCCGTTACAGCGACGCCGTTTTGGGACCACACCATTCTGAGAGCTCGATAACCACCGACCCCGAAGTTCCACCACATCGAGTACGATCCTCACCCTATCATGATGTTCACTAACAACAAGCCTCCGAAACCAGCCACCGTCGTCATACTAAAGATCACGCGGGAGCAGCTCGAAACCTTGAAGAACATGGCCAAGTCCAGATACAGCACCTATGAGATCCTCGCAACGCATATATGGCGTTGCGCGAGCAAAGCACGCTGCTTGGTCTTCGAACAACCGACGAAGCTGCAGATATCTGTCGATGGCAGATCGAAACTGAGCCCTCCAACCCCTGCAGGTAGAGGTGACAAATTTGTGAAACTACAATTTGTGAATTTGATTCATGGATATTTGAGAAACTACAATTTGGTACCTATACTTTTTATAGCTTACATTTTTATGCCTAATTTTTAATTTTAACATAAAATATCATTGGAAAATCTTTTTTTAGTTCTAACGGTTTGTTAGAGAAAATATTATTTATCAGCCAAATCCTGCATACTTTACAAATTATCAACCAAATCTTTTGAAATACAAAATATTAGTCAAACGTCAACTACTCTTTAGTAGTTTTGTTAGTAATGCTCACTTGGCAACAAAACACTAAGTTGAAAGACAGACGTGACGGTCAACATTCCAAAATATTAGTATTCTAATTAAGAAAAGAGTTAGAAAATTATTAGCAGTAACAAATAAATGTTTAATGTTTTGATGAATTAACAAAGATTTGACTAATATTTTGTATTTCGAAATGTTTGGCGTATACTCAATTTTTAAAGGAAATCATCATTGTAAAGTTACATTGTGGTACCTGTAAATTTTTATTATGCAATTCTAGTATCTAAACTTTTCTGACATTTATATATTAATCCAACATTCAGATACCACTTGAATCCATCCATCTAATTCACCAATCCATTTGATCCAAATTATTAAATTCAATCCATTTGACACCTCTGCCTGCAGGATACTTCGGCAACGTGATCTTTCACACCACGCCGATCGCTCTCGCCGGAGAGCTCGCCTCCGAGCCACTGCCACGAACACTGGAGAGGATCCAGCAGGCGCTGAGCAAGATGGACGACGAGTACCTCCGATCCGCCATAGATTACCTGGAAGATCCAAACAATCCGGAAGGCATCATACAAGTTCCGGCCGACTGCCGGTCGCCGAACCTGTGGGTGGTGAGCTGGATGCGGCTTCCATCAAAAACTGCAGATTTCGGATGGGGCAGTTCGACTCTGTTTCACGTGGCGGATATCAGCGAAGGATTGGCGATTCTCTTGCCGAGAAATCCTGCCGACGGGAGCCTGTCGCTGGCGATTTGCTTGGAAAGTGACGTGATGCAGGGTTTCAAGAGGTTGTTCTACGTGTCTGGAAAGAGCTCGTTGCTGCCTTTCAATGGTCGCTGCCTTGCGCTGATTCCTGATCGTTCAAAATAGTGTCGACGGCACTAAACTCCAATTACATATCCCTCGTATGAGTTTGGCCACGACAACTATGAAGGACTTTTGCATATCTTTCCAGAACGTTGCTATTTCAAGGCCGATACTTCACGGAACAGTCAAGAGAACCAATTTCTGCCAATAAAACAACCAACATGGTTTCTTGATTTCTTCCCAAAAATACAAATGGATGGCTGTCATTGCATTCATTACAAAAGCAAGAAGAACGAAACGTCAATTTGTTCACACTCTCCCAGGAAAAGTCAGTTATCCTCCTTTGCTGCCCTGCTTTTATAAGACATAAGTAACTGCCCCTTGCACAATGCTTTTCTACACCATCTCCTAACCCCTCCCAAATCAAAGCCAATTCGTCCTGCTTCCTCATCTCGGTTTCACAACGATATGAAAGTGACCGTGAAAGAGACGAGCATGGTTCAGCCAGCAGAGTGCAGGCCGCGGCATAGCCTGTGGCTGTCGAACTTGGACCTTCTGCAGCTGAAAAATCATGTCACGACGATATACGCATACAACAAGCCAACAGCCGACGGCTGTTCTGCATCCGCCTCGGAGTTCTTCTTCGACATCAAAGTGCTGAAGGATGCTCTGAGCAAGGCCCTGGTGCCATTCTATCCCATGGCGGGGAGACTTGGGAGAGAAGCTAGTGGGAGGCTCGAATTGGATTGCAATGGAGAAGGAGCCCTCCTTCATGAGGCGGAATCGGAGACTACCCTTGCTGAGCTTGGAGAGTTCCTACCCGTACCAGATGGTCGAGAGTTCTCACCCGGGCCAAAGGTTCAACTCACGGAGCTGGTTCCTAGAGTCGATTACTCCAAAGGGGTTTCTTCTTACCCACTGCTGATTCTCCAGGTATGCAGTTGGGATGACTTGCGACTCAAGATAATGGGTTTGTGCAAGTTTTAAACCGTTCATTCCATTTTATGCCTTTTCTGACTTTCTTAGGTAACAAGGTTCAAGTGTGGCGGAGTATGTGTTGGGATCGGAGCCCACCATACTCTAGCCGACGGGGAATCATCACTCAGCTTCATCAACACTTGGGCGGACAGGGCTCGGAGTTTACCCCTTGCAGCCACCCCGTATTGGGACCACACCATTCTGAGAGCTCAACAACCAGCAACCCCGAAGTTTCACCATACCGAGTATGATCCTCACCCTACCATGATTACCAACAACAATCAGCAAAGGCCTCCTCAGCCAGCTACCGTCGACATACTAAAGATCACACCAGAGCAGGTCAACACCTTGAAAGACAGGGCCAAGTCCAGATACAGCACCTACGAGATCTTGACAGCACATATATGGCGCTGTGCAAGCAAAGCACGCGGCTTGGTTGATGAACAGCCAACCAAACTGCAGATATCAGTTGATGGAAGGTCAAGGCTCAACCCTCCAATCCCTGCAGGGTACTTCGGCAATGTGATCTTTCACACCACACCAGTTGCTCCAGTGGGAGAGCTCGTGTCTGAGCCACTGGCACAAACAGTGGAGAGGATTCGGCAGGCAATAAGCAGGATGGATAACGAGTATCTAAAGTCAGCTATAGATTACCTGGAAGATCCCAGCAGTCCAGAAGGTATCATACAAGTGCCGGGCCACTGTCGATCACCCAACCTGAAGGTGGTGAGCTGGATGCGGCTTCCATTCAAAAGTGCTGATTTCGGATGGGGCAGTTCCTTTCTATTTCGCAAAGCAGATATCACCGAAGGAACGGGGATTATCTTGCCTAGAAATCCTAACGGAACTCTGTCCTTGGCGATTTGCTTGGAAGCTGATGCAATGGAGGCTTTCAAGAAGTTGTTATACGAGTCTGGTCCTTGATGTGAATTTGCAGAACATGCCTGAAAATGCAAGGAAGGATATGATAATCAAGTAGCAGAAATATTGTAGCTAACCTAAATTCATGCTTTTATGACATTACAGCCCGCAACTACCATTAGCCATATATACTCCCCATCAATTGAAGTTCATTTTAAACCAGGTTTGTAATAACAATAGCGGTGATGAACAAGAGCATCTGCCTCCATATAAATGGGTTTCCAGCTAAGTACAAAATCAGTAATGCAATTCTCCCGCAAAACTTAGACCGACTGCAAAAGGAAAAAAGCAGTACTGCTATAGCCACCAGCAAATAGTAAGAGCATCAGAGCAGTAAGTCAGTCACAACAACAGCAACACCACCACTACCAACACCAACAACAACAAAGGGGAGAAACGAAAGAAGAATTCGAGTAACGGAGAGCTCAAAATCAAGCAATAGCTGTCATCATTGGGCAAATTCAGTAACAACCCTAAAGACAAAACACAATAAAGACTGAAGCTTTAGCGACTAACCAAGAAATCGGAGAAGTAAAAGCTCCATGTAAAACCCAAAGAATCGGACATCCCTCGAGATCATCCAGCGCCGGCGGCGGCATTCCCCTCAGACTGAGAGCCTCCAAATACCAACGCGGCAGCTTGGGAGATGTGATTTGTAAGCGGCGGTGGCGAGTGAAGGCTAGCAATCAGAGAGAAAGGAAGTTCCCGCCGGCGGCCGATCAATGCATAATGTTTATATCATCGAGCTGAAAACTGAATCATCGAAGCCAAGAGCAAAAGCAAAACAAAAATTGAAAGCTATCTAATTGAGGAAACACTAGAAATCAACAACAGAATAGCTGCGAAGATGGACAGACGTTCACCAGTTATCCACCTCCTCGTCGCAAAGGAGTGAGTGATCTGAATGGAGGATTCTTTTTCTGTGTTGGTGGGCTATTGAGATTGGGCCCAGAGCTAATTTTTCTACATAAATGGGCACAAATCCAAGTCGCTTTAACATTGTTACCGAGTAACATGTGTTTGGATCCTAAAACCTTAGGCAAATCTCTATAAATAACAAAAAAGAACAACGGGTAAAAAAAATCTAATTTTCATTGACAAGACACATTTTAAGCTGAATTGAAGGACACTTTAAAAGAAATATGAAGTCAAACGTGCACATAAAAACGAAAACATAACACAAACAATTTTTTTATTAGAGAAAGGAAACGTTGTAACTGGTATCAGAACCTCTTCTCTCAACGAGGACGTTGACTTCCATGGGGGTATAATGTAATACCTTACGCAAATCTCGCATCGACAAATTACGAAAGAGATCCATGAGCAATAACGAACCATCGATGCAACCAAAAAGCAAAATCATGTGTGCTACATCCAAAGTGGACAGCATCTTGATCAGAAAATCGATTACGACGTGAGACCTATCTCGAATGTATTGTTCTTTGTTTATTTTAGTTTTGATGAGCATGTTAAACGTTCTCGAATGTATTGTTCTTTGTTTATTTTAGCTTTGATGAGCATGTTAAACTTTATCAATCTCGAGTATAGATTCCCCACAATTTCTCATAATATTGACAACCGCCATGACTCAACTAAAATAATCAGTCGGTCCCTCTCTCTACCCCTCCTTCATCCACCTTTAGACACAGTAGAGTTCAACAACATACCTTCCCTTAACGATGAGGAATCGAAAACCAAAGTGACAAATAAATCTAGGCCATCATGGTGGTGGAAACCAGCAAGTAGGAAAGTTTATCAAGACACATAACCTTATCAACACTATTCGGCGGTGTTTGTGTTCGTCTCCTCCACGAATTGCAACAATTTAGTGATTTCTCTATCACCATGAACTTTACGCATCTTCCATATAACATCACCCGATACGATTCAGTGTGATAAACGAATGGCAAATCAAAACCAAAATGGTTTCTTCCCAAAAACTGCAAATGGTTAGCTACCATTGCATTCAGTACAAACTCCAGAAAAGAGAGAGAAAGAAGAACATGCAAGTCATCTCAGCCCACCTTTGCTGCTATAACTGCCCCTTGCACAAGACTATTCACACCATCTCCTTGCTCAATCAACCTCTTCTTCTTGCTTCCTCTCTTCAGTTTCGCCGCGATGAAGGTGACTGTGAGAGAGACGAGCATGATAATGATTCGGCCTGCAGAATGCAGGCCGCGGCATAGCCTGTGGCTGTCGAACTTGGACCTTCTGCAGCTGAGAAATCACGTCACTACAATCTACGCATACAACAAGCCAACAACAGCAGGAACTTCTGCTTTGTCCTTCGAGTTCTTCGACATCAAAGTGCTGAAGGACGCTCTGAGCAAGGCCCTGGTGCCATTCTATCCGGTGGCAGGGAGGCTTGGGAGAGACGCTAATGGGAGGCTCGAATTGGATTGCAACGGCGAAGGAGTTCTGTTACTTGAGGCGGAAACAGAGACTGCCCTAGCTGAGCTCGGGGAGTTCATACCCGTGCCAGATGGTAGAGAGTTCTCGCCCGGGCCAGAGGTTCAACTCACGGAGCTGGTTCCTAGAGTCGATTACTCCAAAGGGGTTTCTTCTTACCCACTGCTGATTCTCCAGGTATGCACTTAGTACGATGACTTGCAACTCAAGGCAATGCATATGTACAAGTTTTCAACCGTTCATTCCATTTTATGCTTTTCCTGACTTTCTTAGGTAACAAGGTTCAAGTGTGGCGGAGTATGTCTTGGAATCGGAATCCACCATACTATAGCCGATGGGGAATCATCACTGAGCTTCATCAACACTTGGGCGGACATGGCTCGGGGTTTACCCCTAACAGCCACCCTGTTCTGGGACCGCACCATTCTGAGAGCTCAACAACCAGCAACCCCGAAGTTTCACCATACCGAGTACGACCCTCACCCTACCATGATGATCGCTAACAACAGCGAGCAAAGAGCTCCGAAACCAGCTACCGTCGGCATACTAAAGATCACACCAGAGCAGCTCAACACCTTAAAGATCAGGGCCAATTCCAGATACAGCACCTACGAGATCTTGACAGCACATATATGGCGCTGTGCAAGCAAAGCACGCGGCTTTGTTGATGAACAGCCAACCAAACTGCAAATATCAGTTGATGGAAGGTCAAGGCTCAACCCTCCAATCCCTGCAGGGTACTTCGGCAATGTGATCTTTCACACCACACCAGTTGCTCCGGTGGGAGAGCTCATCAGTGAGCCACTGGCACAAACAGTGGAGAGGATTCGGCAGGCGATAAGCAGGATGAATAACGAGTATCTAAGGTCAGCTATAGATTACCTGGAAGATCCAAGCAGTCCAGAAGGTATCATACGAGTTCCGGGCCACTGTCGATCACCTAACCTGAAGGTGGTGAGCTGGATGCGGCTTCCATTCAAAAGTGCTGATTTCGGATGGGGAAGTTCCATTCTATTTCGCAAAGCAGATATCAGCGAAGGAACGGGGCTTATCTTGCCTAGAAATCCTGACGGAACTCTGTCCTTGGCGATTTGCTTGGAAGCTGATGTGATGGAGCCTTTCAAGAAGCTGCTATACGACTCTGCTGGTCCTTGATGTCTCTGCAGAACATACCTGAAAATGTAAGGGAGATCATGATAATCAGATAACATTTTTCATCAGTCCAGTCATACCATTATATTTCGAAAGTTGTGACTATACTTGTCACAAATGTGAAAGTTGTGACAATGGATCTGTATTTTTACAAAGGCTACAAAAGAAGACAGCTTCAATGGTTCCAAAAAGACACAATAAGATTGCAAAAATATTGTCCGTAACTCGATTTATCAGTAACATCGTTGGTTTTCAGTTTGAAGATCGTCAGAGTGGACTCCTCATCGACGCACGGTGCAGACTTCCTTTGCTTCATGTGCAGGGAAGCTGGTGCCATTCATGGAATGCTCCTTCAGAGGCTGTTCTGTGGGACTTGAAAGATGAAAAGAGAAGCAAGCTGGTAGTGCTGGATGGACTGTGGCAGACGCTAATTCCCAATCGAACACCTTCAGCCTTGTTGAATGGTAATTTGCAATAACGAAAAGATTCCGAAATTGTACCAAGACAATGACATCAAGAAGACAAACCACCGTATGCAGTAAATTGGAACAGCTAGCACATAATTACGAGGCCAGCAACTTTGGAAGAAGTTAAAACAAATAAATAATACATCAACTTGCCGCATGACAAGGAGACTGAGCTAAGGCAACAATGCATGGACCAACGAAGCTTGAAATTTGAATGGTCACATGGATGGCGTTCATTACAAAAGCCAGAATAGAGAAATATCGGTTGCCCTGCTCAGTTGCCTTATTATAAGTAACTGCCCCTTGCACAAGGCTTTTCCCACCATCTCCTTACTCAAATCAAGCCCTTCTTCTTGCTTCCTCTCAGTCTCGCTGCGATGAAACTGTATGTGAAAGAGACAAGCATGGTTCAGCCAGCAGAATGCAGGCCGCGGCATAGCCTATGGCTGTCGAACTTGGACCTTCTGCAGCTGAAAAACCATGTCATAACAATCTACGCATACAATAAGCCATCAGCAGATCAGGGCGGTTCTGCTTCTTCCTCCGAATTGTTCTTCGACACGAAAGTGCTGAAGGACTCTCTGAGCAAGGCCCTGGTAACATTCTATCCCATGGCAGGGAGACTTGGGAGAGATGGTAACGGGAGGCTCGAATTGGATTGCAGTGGAGAAGGAGCCCTCTTTTATGAGGCAGAATCGGAGACTACCCTTGCTGAGCTTGGAGAGTTCCTACCCGTACCAGAAGGTGGAGAGTTCTCGCCAGGACCAGTGGTTCAACTCACGGAGCTGGCTCCTAGAGTCGATTACTCCAAAGGGGTTTCTTCTTACCCACTGCTGATTCTCCAGGTATGCACTTGGGATGACTTGCAACTCAAGACAGTGCATTTGTACAAGTTTCCAACCGTTCATTCCATTTTATGCTTATTCTGACTTTCTTAGGTAACAAGGTTCAAGTGCGGTGGAGTATGTCTCGGAATCGGAATCCACCATTCTCTCGCCGATGGGGAATCATCACTGAGCTTCATCAACACTTGGTCGGACATGGCTCGGGGTTTACCCGTTGCAGCCACGCCGTTTTTCGACCACACCATCCTCAGAGCTCGACAACCAGCAGCACCTAAGTTTCACCATACCGAGTATGATCCTCACCCTACCATGATCACTAACAACAAACAGCAAAACCCTCCGAAGCCAGCTACCATCGACATAATAACCATAACACCAGAGCAGCTCCAAAACTTGAAGGACAAGGCCAAGTTCAGATGCAGCACCTATGAGATCTTCACAGCACACGTATGGCGCTGCTTGAGCAAAGCACGCGGCTTGGCTGATGAACAGCCGACCAAATTGCAGATATCAGTTGATGGCAGGTCAAGGCTGAACCCTCCGCCGCCTCCAGGGTACTTTGGCAATGTGATCTTCCACACCACACCAGTTGCTCCAGTGGGAGAGCTTGTCTCCGAGCCAATGGCACAAACCGTAGAGAGGATTCGTCAGGCGATAAGAAGGATGGATAACGAGTATCTAACGTCGGCTATAGATTACCTGGAAGATCCCAGCAGTCCGGAAGGTATCATACAACTGCCGGGCTACTGTCGATCGCCTAACCTAAAGCTGGTCAACTGGATGTGGCTTCCATTCAAAGGTGCTGATTTCGGGTGGGGCAGTTCCATTCTATATCGTAAAACAGATCTCAGCGAAGGAATGGGGCTCATCTTGCCCAGAAATCCTGACGGAAGTCTGTCCTTGGTGATTTGCTTGGAAGCTGATGTGATGGAGCCTTTCAAGAAGCTGCAATACGAGTCTGGTCCTTGATGTGAATTGGCAGAACATACCTGAAAATGCAAGGGGGATATGATGATCAAGAGCATAAATATCGTAGCTAACCTACCTTCATGCTTTTAAACAAGTTCTTGTAATAATAATAATGGCAGTGATGAACAAGAGCAGCTGCCTCACTTTCCACCTAAGTTCCAAATCAGTAATGCAAGTTTCCCACAAAATGTAAACCAATTACAATTGCATTTATAAGCCCTCAGATTCTCCTAGTTATGAGAATTCCAATTCATTCATAGATTATGTGTGATTCATCCTTCTTTCGCACTGAAAGCAAAAGGGAAAGAGCAATACTGCTATAGCCACCAGCAAATTGTATAAGCAGCAGAGCAGTAATTCAGTCACAACAACGCCACCGCCACCACCAACAACAACAAGTATAACAACGGAAAGAGAGGAAGAAGAATCCAAGTAATGGAGAGCTCAAAATCAAGCAAGAGCTGGCATCATTGGGCAAATTCAGCCACAACCCTAAAACAAGAACACAATAAAGACTCAGGCTTTAGCGACTAATCAAGAAATCTCAGCAGTAAAATACTAAAATCTCCACGGAAGGTAAGTCCAAAGGATCAGAGAGCCCTTGAAATCATACAGCATTGCAAGGGCATTCCCATCGGAATGAGCGCCTTCAATCACCACCACGGTAGCGCAGGGGATGTGTCCCCAGTGGAGATGGCAACAGTGGTGAGTGAAGGCTACCGATCAGAGAGAAAGGAAGTTTGTGCCGGCAGGCGATCAATGCATACTGTTTATATCATCCAGCAGACAACTGAAAAATCAAATCCAAGAACGAAAAAGAACAAAAATGCAAGCTATCCAACAGTGAAAGCCCTAAAAGTCAATAACAGAATTGAGCTGACAACAAAAATTAAACCTCAAATACACGGTTAGTTTATCAGAAATGAAATTCTAGAACGACAAAACATGAGAATTTGAGGTTCCTCCTCTTTGTTCTTCATCTTTTTCCTCTTTGTTTTTTCCTCTTAGTTCCATTGCAGAGTGGTATGCATTTTCAGATTTTCTTGTTACGTGTTTTGTAGCTTTGTTGAAAGAGCATTTAAAGAAAGAGGAAGTTCTTAAATTGAGAATTCCCAGCATAAACCTGAATAGCTCCAAACAAAAGAACCTCTTTGGCAAATCAGACCATAGTTTAATGGTTCCAGAACAAGCGAACGCTTCAATCCTCCTCCATTGTCGCTACAAAAACTTGACCTTAGAATGTTGCTTTAAATCATCTTCTAGCTTTCCTCATCATTTCCAGTCTTAAAAACTTGGTCTGCCTTCTGTTCTTTCATGAAAATGAAGGTGAGTGTGAGACAGATGAGCATAGTACGCCCAGCAAAATGCACGCCGAGGCATAGACTATGGCTGTCGAACTTGGACATTGTGCATCCAAAAACTCATCTCAAGACGATCTACATATACAAAGAGGCCGACAGCCAGCACTCTACTTCTTCTGATTTCTTCGACGCCAAAATGATGAAGGACGCTCTGAGCAAGGCCCTGGTGCCATTCTATCCCATGGCAGGGAGGCTTGGGAGAGACAATAATGGCAGGCTTGAACTGGACTGCAACGGGGAAGGAGTCTTGTTTCAAGAGGCGGACGTAGAGACCACAATCAATCAGCTAGGAGAGTTCTTGCATAAAGCTGAGGATGAATTGACCGAGCTGGTTCCTAGTGTTGGTTACTCCAAAGGGATTTCTTCTTACCCTCTGTTCCTTCTCCAGGTGAGCCCCTTGGGATGAATTGCAACACAAGGCAATGCATTTTTGTGCAAACTTAATCACTCACAAGTTGATTGTTCTGTTTTCTAACTTTCTAAGTAACAAGGTTCAACTGTGGCGGAGTTTGTCTCGGAATTGGGATGAACCACAATGTAGTGGATGACATATCAGCACTCAGCTTCATCAACACTTGGGCAGAGATGACTCGTGGTGTATACCTTGCAACCATGCTGATTATGGACCGCACGATTCTCAAAGCTCGAGAACCAGCCCGAGAATTTCACCACACCGAGCATGATCCTCACCCTATCATGATTACAGACACCAAGCCACTACAGCCAGAAAGCCCGCCAAAACTAACTACCAACCACATCCTGAAGATGACACCAGACCAACTGAGCACACTGAAGGAGAAGGCCAATCCAAGGAGCAACCAATCAGAGGTCAGATACAGCACCTACGAGATCCTGTCAGCACATATATGGCGCTGTGTGAGCAAAGCACGCGGCTTGACAGATGAGCAGCCAACAAAATTGCAGATTCCAGTCGATGCCAGATCCAGGATGAAACCTCCAATCCCTCGGCAGTACTTTGGCAACGTGATCGTTATTACCTCGGCGGTCGCTGTAACACGAGAACTTGCTGACGAGCCATTACTACAAACAGTGGGGAGGATTCGGAAGGCCATATCCAGGATGGATGATGAGTATCTAAGGTCATCAATAAATTACATGGAAGATCCCAGCAATCCCGAGGGTGTCATCGAGGTTCGACCCTGTCAATCGCCCAACCTGTTGCTGGTGAGCTGGATGAGCCTCCCTTTCAAAGGGGCAGACTTCGGATGGGGAAGCCCAACACTAACTCGCAAAGTGGACGCCTTTGAAGGGATCGGGCATCTCTTGCCAAGAAATGCTGATGGAACTGTATCCTTGGCAATTTGCTTGGAGGCTGAAGCTATGGAAACCTTCAAGAAGCTGTTCTATGAGACTGGCCCTTAATGGAGCTCACCTGAAAATGTATCAAGAGACTAATTACAGTTAAATGTCGCGCAAAAGCACTCCTGCCATTATGTTTTATCATAGACTGCAATCACCACCACTAGTCATTTACACTTTCAGCCAAGAAATTTCCATAAATTTGGAGCAATTACGACAAGAATAAACAGCATTCTATGCCCTCAGATTCTCCTGTTAAAGAGAATTCATACATGGTACGTTACTCATCTTCTATTTTCTCACTGGAAGCCAAAAGGAATACAACAATGCCACTACTGCTACCAGCAAGTTGTAAGAGCAGCAGTAGAAGGACGTTGAAGTTCCACGAAGCAACCATGGTCTATGGTTGTCGAACTTGGAGCAAAAGGGAAAGAACAGTACTGCTATAGCTACCACCAAATAGTAAGAGCAGCAATAGCAGTACACAGTCAATAACAAGAACAACAGCAGCAACAATAATGAGAATAACAAATGGAGAGAAGAGGAAGAAGAATGGAGAGCTCCAAAATCAAGCAAGAGCTGTCATCATACGGCAAATTCAGTCACAACCCTAAAGACAACACAATAAATACCAGGGCTTTAGAGACTAATCAACAAATCGCAGAAGCAAAAGCTCCATGCATATTGCATGGAGTGTAAAATCCCATGAATCATAACGCCCTTGTAATCATCCACCACGGACAGCATCCCCATAAGACAGCCTTCAATCACCACCGGGGCAGCAAGGAAGATGGGTGCTCAGTGGTGAGTGAAGGCTAGCGATCTGGGAAAAGAGGAAGTTTCCCCCCGCCAGGCAACATATCAATTCAAATTGTTTACATGATCGGCACGAAGCTAAAGAACAAAATGGGAACTATCTAACGGCAAAAGGTTATGGCTGTCGAACTTGGACATTACGTATACAACGAGGCCGACAACCAGCACACTACTTCTGATTTCTTCGACGCTAAAGTGCTGAAGGATGCTCTAAGCAGGGTGCTGGTGCCATTCCATCCCATGGCAGTGAGGCTCGGGAGAGACAGCAATGGGAGGCTCTAACTGGACTGCAACAGAGGAGTCTTGTTTCAAGAGGCGGATGTAGAGACCACAATCGTTAAGATGGGAGAGTTCTTGCATAGAAGAGAGGAGGACTTGACGGAGCTGGTTCCTAGTGTTGATTACTCACAGGGAATTCTTCTTACCCTCTGATGGTTCTCCAGGTGTGCACTTGAAGCACAAGATAATGCATTTTCGTACAAACTGAGCCATTCCCGAGTAGATTGTATTTTGTCTTCCAACTTTCTAGGTAACAAAGTTCGTGTGACGGAGTATGTCTCGGAATTGGGATGAACCACAATGTAGTAGATGGCATATCTGCACTCAGCTTCATCAACACTTGGGCAGAGCTGGCTAGGGGTATATTCCTCATAACCATGCCAATTATGGACCGTACAATTCTGAGAGCTCGACAACCAGCCAGCCAAGAGTTGCACCACATCGAGCATGATCCTCGCCCTACCATGATTGCAAATACCAATCCACTACAACCACAAAGCCAGCCAAAACCAACTACCAACCACATCGTAGAGAAGACACCAGACCAACTGAGGAAACTAAAGGGGAAGGCAAATCCAAGGGGCAACCAATCAGAGGTAAAATACAGCACCTACGAGATCTTGTCAGCAAACATATGGCGTTGTGCGAGCAAAGCACATGGCTTGGTAGATGAGCAGCCAACAAAATTGCAAATTCCAGTGGATGCCAGATCCAGACTGAACCCAACAATCCCTCGGGAGTACTTTGGCAATGTGATCGTTCTTAGCACGGCAACCGCCATGGCAAGAGAGATTGATAATGAGCCAATGCTACAAACAGCGAGGAGGATTTGAAGGGCAATATCCAGGATGGATGATGAGTATCTAAGGTCATCAATATATCACATGGAAGATCCCAGCAACCCGGAGGGTGTCAAAGAGATTCGACCCTGTCAATCTCCCAACCTGTTGCTGGTGAGCTGGATGAGCCTCCCTTTCAAAGGTGCAGTCTTTGGATGGGGAAGTCCAATACTAACTAGCAAAGTGGACTACATTGAAGGGACAGGGCACCTCCTGCCACAAAATGCTGATGGGAGTCTGTCCTTGACAATTTGCTTGGAAGCTGAAGCTATGGAGTCCTTCAAGAGGCTGTTCTATGAGACTGACACTTGACAGAGCTAACCTGAAAATTTATCAAGAGACTGATAACAAATAAAGTTGGATCACAGCCTGCCAACACTTCCTAACATTATGTTTTATCACAGCCTGCAATTACCACTAGTCATTTACACTTTCAGAAAAACAATTTCCACAAAAGTTGGATCAATTACAATAAGAATAAACAGTATCCCACGCCCTCAGATTCTCCTGGTTATGAGAATTCATAGATGGTAAGTCACTCATCTTTATTCTGACGGGAAGCAAAAGGGAAAGAACAATGCCACTACTGCTACCAGCAAATAGTAAGAGCAGCAGTAGCTGTACAACAACAACAACAACAACACAACAAAGAGTGACAATGGAGAGAGATTAAGAAGATTATGAGTACTGGAGAGCTCAAATCAACAAGAGCTTTCATCATCGGGCAAATCCACTCACAACCTATAGTCAAAATGCCCTAAAGACTGAAACTTTCAGCTACCAATAGCCAAAAGTCCAACCAAAATGTTGAATAAATTTAAGCTAATGACATGAATATACTCAAAAATATACACCAAGATGAAACATATTAAAAATGCCCTCAGATCTCATAGCTTAGAATCATTAAGCGCCGATGGATCCATAAGCCAGCCTTCAAACACCACCACAGCAGTCGTGGGGGGGTGTGTGCACGGTGGTGGTGGTGGTGAGATAAGGAGGTGGATACCGCGGTGGTGAGTGAAGACTAGCAATGGAAACGGAAAGTTCAACCATCGGCAGCCGATCAAGGTATTTGTTTTCCATCATTGGGCAATAATCAGAGCTTGAAAACTGAAAAACTTGAAGCAAAATTTACAGTAAAGGTACTACTATCTAATTTGCATAAGCTCTAGGAGCCAAAAACGGAATAAGACGAATAGAGCAGAGATTTAGAGCGGGCTCAGCTAGTCAGCTTCATATCAATGGCCCTCATTTTTATATCTGCCGTTTCGCCCCCTAATGGGGAGCGCTAGGGTTTCCACCCCGACTTTGCCCATTACTTCTCGTGGAGCAGGGACGGAGTGGAGATTTTTCTTGCTACCATGAGCGTGTCCAACCAAAAGAAGAACAAACCAATTCAAGAAAGCAGCCAGGCAATTCTTCCTTCCGCCATAGATTCAAGCAGATTGAACTAATTGAGAGCTTCATTAACATCCAAATTTTCAAAGGAGTCTACAACGGGAAATGGAAATACACACTACACATACAGAAACAGCAATGATACGGTTCAGATCGCTGTTTTTAAGCCAAAAGTCAGCATCTACCCATCAGTAGTCAGAGGAGTAGAGAGGGCGCCTGGCCTCGTCGAAGAACTCCTCCCGATTGATGAACACGATCGCGTACAGCGCGTAGATGATCCCAGGTAGGTAGCCGAGAATCGTCAGCAGCACGCAGATGCAGAACTCCACCTGCAAAATTAACACCCCCAATTCCTCAAAAACCCCAATTTCATCCCGAGAAAACCATCTCAATCTAGATCTGTTTGGCTCCTGAGAAAAGTCGATGAAAACGATGGACCGATGAAGAAGAAAGGAAACTTACGGTGCAGCAGCCATGCCTGAGGCAGACTCCCAGCGGAGGGAGCAAGATTGCTATCAGGATCTCGCAGAAGATCGCGCAGCTGCTCGGCATTTTTTCCCTGCCTGCTCGCTGATTCAACTCCCGGCTGCGAGAACGAAGAGAGAAGAACTTGTTGCTTTGCTTTCCCCTTTAATGGCTTCTCGGCTTACTCTTTCGCTCTTTGTGTGGACGAGTAAGGTAAACGGTAGCTTTCCAAGAAGTTTCTATTTGGCGAAAGCTTGAGCTCAGTCGACAGTCGAGACAAGAAGATTCGTGAGCCAGTGATTTTATAATAATTTCGTGATAAATAATGGAAGGCAGAGAAGGAAGACTGAAAGGGATCACGTGATTTATCGAGGAAAACGAAAGGGAACACGTGTATACTCAATCTCGGGAAACCGGGTTGGGAATTCAGATCAGATCAGATCAAGTCCACCCGATTAGGCCCATCACTATATGGCTTAGGCCCAATATAAATGCACTTACGTTTTCAGCAAGACCAAACATTTCTCGGCTATCATTATATGGTTTTTAGCCCAATATAAATGCACGAAAACGGTAGGGAATTGGCAAAAATAATCGTACCCGTGGATAGTACTATTGATGAGCTGAGCTATTCGTGAGCGGCTCGATTTTGAACTCGATAAAAGCTCGTTCGATTAAAAAAAAAAAAACTCGGCTCGTTAATAAACGAGCTGAGCTTGAGCTCTACCTCGTGAAGCTCGTGAACTAGCTCGGTTAGCTGGCTCGTTAAGTACAAGTCATTAACTATCTTGTTTTGAGCTCATGAGATGTCTGAACATTGTGACTGGACTGGAGAGCCAACTCGACTACAGTTTATGAGAAAATCAATCTTTATTTTATAAGTTGGTTTGTTAATGATGCATATGATTATTAAATTATATATATAACCTCATATGGTGTTTAATACATTGAGTATATGTAAGCAAATATGTCTCATACATGACATAACATGAGGTAATCACATGTATCACATATGATATATAAATATTAGGGTATTTACATTTATAAATTATCTTAGAGTTGAGTTCGAGCCGAACTTTCGATCTTAATGATGCGTCAAGATTTAATAAATGAGTTGGCTCGTGTTCGACTCGATTCGGCTCGTTTATAAACGAGCCGAACATGAACAAGGCAAAGCTCGGCTCGACTCGGCTCATTAACAGCCCTACCCGTGGATACGCGGCCGAATTTGATCTAATCAAGTGGATAAAATTCGAGTCCGAAAATTTTTAATGGTATGAGTAAAATTTGAACCCAAATATTACGGATGATGAGTGAACATTATTTTCTTACTATGCAACCGGAATTCACCTATTATTTTAAAATGTGTTGCAAATGATGATGATTTATGAGACTCATGATCGTATCTATACTCGAAAACTAATCCGTCTCACTTACGTGTTTTTTTGTTATACTTAGTAAACCGTCGGTTTCGTGTCGTTTATATCGATTCACTTATTTGTATTTAGCAATACATTGGTTCCATAATTACCTAGTCACTTCCTATATCTACTAGCAATATGATCCTTACGGCCTTGCCCAATCCCTTTTTTCCCGTTTCATTGCACGCCTTACTGATTGATTTTAGTATTTTACCGTGTTAGGCGCTTCGTCTACTCTTGCCGCTTCCCAACAACGCATATCGAAAAAGGGAAGCAAGAGAAAGGGCTAAATCCTTGTTTGGATTCCCTATTTATTTCTTCAGCAACGTATTACTACCAATTTGGTCTTTTATCCGATCCTGTCACCATGGAATACCACTTGAAGCTCATGATCAGAACCCCCGCCAGGAATTTCCCTTCACCGTCGCCGGCGGACTTCCCCCACGAGTTCGCCGGGCTCCGGATGTTGACCCAGCACTTCGCATTTTACTGCCACTGCCGCCGCCGCCGGCCAGCTGAAGAGTTCTATCGGCTGGAATGCAAGATTCCGATCAAACGGGTCGTTCTGGTTAGTCCTTTCTTTGCTCCAGCATTCTTTAACGATCTCATTTAATTGTCATGTCTCATCGAACTTTTAAATCTCGTTTTACAGCAGAGAACGGATCTGGTAAGCCTCTGCGCGGCAGACCGTTGGGTCAACAATGGCGGCGGCCCTGCCGCTCTGCTTTCTGGATCGAAGGATGTGGCAGAGGAGAAGGAGAAGACAATCGCGGCAGGAGAATGGAAGCAGCACGTCGAAGGCAGTAGACACAAGGCGAATGTCGTCGAAGCAGCTCGAAGCGTGACGACGACGACGATGATGAATCCGAAGTCCGTGCGGAAACAGGAGAAGAAGCCAGCTGCTGCTGTTGCTGTAGCAGGCAGGAGGATAGGGTCCAGAGCGGCGGGGTTCGAGTTTTGGTGTGAAGCTTGTGAAGTTGGGACTTATTGTCTAGATGGAATGATCAAGCACATTGGCGGGAGGAGGCACGCCGGCGGGATTAAGGAACTCCATAATGCTGGTCGGCGTCTGGCCGGCGACGAAAGGGTTTGCTAGATTTTGAGATGTATAGAATGTGAAAACAATGTGTAGGATGCAAGAATCCTTTGCGTCGGGAGAGTTTTGAAGTCCATCAACCAAATCATGGGTAGTTGAGGGTATTATGGTGGACATGTGTGATGGGTCAATTTAATTTCGAAGAAATTTAGTTGCTTAGGGCTTGTTCTCGTTGCTTACGTGTTCGCTTCGTTGGTCGGATTCGTAATAGAAAGGGCATATTTGGTTGTCAGATAAAAGTCATTTCTTTTTATCCTAGTTTAATCAGGATTTGATGTTTGTTCTCGGATGATCACAATCATATATACTCTTCTGTATCTTCCATTTTCTAAGTAATACGAGTTATAACCCCCCAAAAATCTTGCATTGGAGTTGCTCTTTTCGATGCGGACTACTTAGTTTGTGGTTTTATTTTCATTCACAGTTCTTTCGTCATGATGTCTGATTTCCTTTTGAGTCTCATATAATCATGCTAGTACATTATGATAGCAACTCGTTTACTCGAATTAGGGTTTTGCTTGTAACTCACAAGCGAGAGAACGACGTAGGTATTGAAAGACCTTTTAGTTTAGTATTTCGATAATCGGCACTAACACACCGAATATGCATATTTATAGGACAGTTACCGTAATACCCGACTAGGCCACTCGGCCCCTACCCCTAGAGGAATTTTACAATGCTATATAGCATTGGTGCTATAGGTTTTTACCTTTATGGTACAACTTGAAATTGTACCTTTAATGTTATGGTACAACTTCAGATTGTACCTATACTTTTTGTACAAATTCTTTTATGGTACAACTTAAACTTGTACCTTATGTGATGGTACAACTTCAAGTTGTAAAGTTGTACCATAACATAATGATACAAATTCCCTTATGATACAACCTAAACTTGTACATTTAATGTTATGGTACAACTTCAAGTTGTACATTAAAGCACCAATACTATATAGCATAGTAGAAGTGCTCCCTACCCCTAATCTGCCACCCTTTAAGAAGTCTCACTCCTTATGGGTTACGTACTCGGCCCTGTCCTACAAAATAATACTAACCGAACAAGCACGAAAAGCATAACATACTAATAATACGCAAACTGTCAATAACAACTAAGCCCGCTAGACTACGAGTTGCTATCACATTAATCTTTTGACCTCTTCAGAAGAGTGTACGTCGATCAAACTTAATTACCAATAAAAACATGTTGAAGACACGCCTAATAAGTCAAAAGGTAGTTTAGTAAGTTTAGTCCGGAACAAGTCGATTAGAATTTCGGAACAGAATCTATCTATATATTGTTAATTTGTTATTCAAGTATTTCTCCAGGGTTATTAATGCACAATTATTATTCCGTTTTCCCTCTACAATTACACGGTATACTGATATATATTTTTCCTCAGCATTGCGCCATTGCCTCTTCGTCTACTACTCTTGCCACTTTTCCCAATGCATCGGGAGAAAAAAAGGAACGAAAGAACAATAAGTAGATAGCATGGGTTCCCAATATTCGTTTAGCCTGAGCCAACAACGTATACCGATTGGGTTCTCTTTTTTTTTTTTTTTTTTTGACAAGATTAATCAACTTTTATTCCATCAACCGGAAGAAAACGGAAACATGTTACATTCTCAAAGAAGATCAGAAATTAGATCAAGAATATTAATCCAGTCGTCAGGAAGGGACTCTCTCGCTTTCGAACACGCAACCCAATCAGCTCTGACATTAAGAGATCTTGACACCTCTTTCACCTTGATGAAAGTGTTTGCCCTGAGAATCGTGACAATAGAGCCAATCCAGGCCGCACACCGCCATGGCCAATTTGCTTGATTTTGAGACAACGCTCTCACTAGCACTTGGCAGTCGGACTAGACCAAACATTCGGAACCATATTCTTTTGCTAATTTAACTCCTTCAAGAAGAGTCTTCGTTTCTGCTTCAATCGGGGTGGAACAAAGAAGAGTCTCAGCTCGCCCATCACAAACTTGTCCATGGTGGTTAGCAACCACAACACCATATGCCGCCGGCTGGGAGTCGCTTATGAACGACCCATCACAGTGAATCACCAAAGGATGATTACTTGGCGGTGGATTTGTATGAGAATGGGATCCCCTGAGCTGAGTAGAAGAGGATGACATGTGAGTAGGGGGCCTCGGACAAGAACTCCATTCCAAGAGCTCTTTATAGGCTTGCATACACACATTCGGGGGCCAATGGGCAGTATTCTTGAAACAACACTCATTTCTCGCCTTCCAAATATTCCAGCACAGAAAGACAATCTGGATCAAAGAGTTTGTCGAGATTGCCTCTTTAAGGGAGCAAAACCAGTCCAAAGAAGGAAGTCCCCTGGGGAGGGAAGGGGAGGGAAGGGAAGATAGCATTCCACGCTGCATTGGCATGGGGGCAATAGAAGATGCAGTGGAGCAAGGATTCAATCGGGTCTTGGCATACTTGGCATGTCGAGTTTTGAGAACACTTTCGATGAAGAAGTCTCTCCTTTGTTGCCAACCCATTCTTAGAGCATCTCCAGATAAAAAATTTGAGTTTTGGAGGGAGGTGAAGGCTCCAAATCCATTTCCATTTATCAGCATTCCCATTCTGTTGGGTAATAGAACCATTTCGATGAATCGCGTGGTAAGCTGATTTCACTGAGAAACTTCCCTCTTTCGTGAAGTTCCACGCCCAAAAATCTTCAGCATCATCTTCTCCAATAGGGATCTTCAGGATTGCTTCCATTTCCGTGTTGGAGACATGGCCCTGGATGAGATCCAGGTTCCATCTTCTGTCTCCTGGATCAATCCACTC